TTTAGTGCAAATCATTATTGGCGGCTGAACACTGCAGATGTATTTATTGACAATCTTTTTTTTTGTTGGATGTATTTATTGACAATTTAAGTCAAATCTATCTTAAACATTTCATAGTTTCGTTAAATTTATTAATAAAATGTATTAACGTTTACATTTTATAATTGTTTTTTATTAATTCAGGACATGAAAATAAATGAATTATCAAATAGGGACCTGGAAGATGAAATGTGTTGATATGGGGAGAGAGTGATTAAAAACTATCGATCTAGGACTTGATTTTCCAAAGATTTTGATTTATTTATTTTTTATTAATTCCGTTGCTAGTTTTTGAAGATCTTTTCTTTACAAAAGTTTATTAATTTAATAAAATTAAATAATATTTTATTTTTTTACAATAAAAATAAAGTTTATGACAACTTATGTCCTAAATTGATAGTTTTAAATCATTCGGGTCATATACCAACACATTTCATTTTTCAGGTTCCAGATAGATAGTTCATCCTAATTTAACGTAATTATCTATCAAATTAAATAAGAGTTTTTTCAAATATATAACAAAAATAACATTTATTTACGAAAATATGACTAATAGTTACTGCATTAGAATGTCATAGTCATTTTGGTTTTAAAATTGAACATAAGTTACTATAATTAAATTACTTTATAGTCATTAACCCTATTTTTGTAAACAATCTTTATTTTAGTTATAAATAGGTAATTATTTCTTAAATAAATTCTTAAATAAATACTTATCGTACAACATTTTTGTAAACATAAATCTGAATACGTGTTCATGTTTCAAGCATTTTAAATCTATCCATTTGTAAAAATGGGTCTAATACTCTAATCTATCTTAAAACCCAATTCCACTCAATGAGTACTCCTCTTGCATACTAATTATATGACTATAAATATATACTCCGTATAAGTGTTGAATCATAAACATCACAATTAAGATGACTGCAAAATAATACATCACATGATCACAGTTAAGATTACGCTTGATTTTAGGATTATTGCTCATAGTTTTAAATTTATGTATTGATGAAACTGGGTCAAACCTTTAATTACTCATTAGTTTGTGATCCAACCCAATCAACAATATTGATACTCATTATATGACTTAATTAGAAGGTTTGACTAATTAATCAATATAATAACTAGTACGCATGCTCTTAGAATAACTAATTCATAGGGTGTTAATTCAACTAAATCTATTTATTAGTCAAATCAGGTTTAATCTATCTTAAAATTTCGTTCGGATCTTATTAATGTTCTTAATATACTTTTGTTGAGGTTTATTCCTCGAGATCCAACTTCCAACACATTCCCTTGGACTTTTTTGGATTTTGGTGGATTGTTTATCTTTTAGTGAGTGATTAGGCGATTATGAAGGTGAAACAATAGCAAGAAAGATATGACCTTGTTGACAATAAAAATTAGTGAGTCAATGAATTGCACTATTTCTGAGAAGGCGAGATCAAGTATTGAAGGGTAAGGCACTTGAATGAAGCACTTAAGATTCATGGAAGCTTTATAAAATGTTTGGAAGGGCTTGTCCAGCAACTGGCCCAACGTCAACCTTACTAACTTGTCTTGAAGCTCTATAAAATGTTTCCAGTCCTTTTTTTGCTTTCCCGCCATTTCTACTGGGGAATAGGCTAGACACCCGTTGGCAGCAATCCGGTGAATCTTCAAGGATCCCAAGCCGCTCGGTTGACATTGTGCGGTCTGAGCTGCTCGGGTTGGATCCCTTCATCGGGTTGTTGGGCCTGTAGACCTTTTAAGGTACTAGATCATTTGTTCCCAATGACTTTCAATGATCGTAGTTTGCACCTATGGTTTCTTTGGCTAGGGCTTTAAAGAGCCAAGTCGGGCCTCGACATCCAGAGGTTGAGTTCGGCTCGGTTCGATAAATATATTGGCATTTGGGTTCAAGCTCGAAGCTCGAAGAGCTTTACAAATGTTGCTCGAGTTCGGCTCCATAGATGTCCCACTCGATGTCTCGATAGATGTTCCACTCGAGTGCTTGATAAGTTCGATAAATATATTTTTCTCAAATAGAAAATTAACTTATGCTTGTTAATAGGCTAGTGGTCGAATTATTCGACAAATGCTCAATTCATTAAATCATGTTTAAATTTAACTCGATCATGTGTTCGATAGGCTCAAGTTCGAAATTCTATAAGAACGACTCGTTAAGCTCGAAATCGAACTCAAACTCGAATAGTTAGAAAATAGCTCAATTCGTCAATAGCCCCACATTTGACCATAAAAGTGGTGGGAAATTGAGATTATACAAACCTTTAAGAGGTGCACATTGTCAAGGCATTTGATTTAACCAATTAGAATTAAAGGCGTACAAGCGGTTTCTGTTCGGCCCGACCGACAATCGGGCGGTCCCGGTCGAACCCGTCAACGACCCGACAATCCTTGTCCAGGCTGGTCAATGACCCTGTGTTTTGGTCTCGGTTTTTTGAAATCCTTTTTTAAGATGAAGAATTTTAAGAGAGTTGTTGAATTGTCAACCAATATGGAAATGAGAAAAGAATCATCCAACCTAACCATTGAGATCGTCCGGGACCGACCGGATTTGGTCCCGACTTTTCTATACGTGGGACCCGTTACCCTACTTGTGTTGTGCTAGGTTTGATGAACATGTTTTCAAATTTGAAAATAGAAAACTAAAAACTGAAAACAGAAAATTAGAGATAGAAAAGCTGGAAAATGAAAACTAGAAAAACCATCTATTGAACAAAAGGCCCTGAATTTTTGGAGACATATTAGCACTAATATTGTCACAGAATAAGGGAAGATGTTGGGGATGCCAAACACCCATTTCTTTGAGTTTGGAACTATAGAACTTCAATAGTAGCATTGACAAGAGTCTAATATTACAGACAGACCCTTGTAAGTTAGATATTCAATAGATAATATTGGATCCAAAATAAAGATGCAGCATTGGATTCCTATTCAACCTCTCATTTTCTTAGAGATTGCCTTGTTGATTGATTGTTGCTTATTCCGCAATTCCAAATTCTTGTTCATGTTTGTTCGAACAGAACTTTTAGTACATCCACTAGCGATTCATTGTAAGTTTTGTAACGGACTACACACTTGACACTTGTGATATTCATTATTCATATGGTTCGGTAGTGACACTGCTTCTACAGTTCATACTTCACACTTTAGTTTCCATTTCAATGACACTCAATCGTTTGATTTCCCTGATTTGAAAACAAAAATCTATATTTCAATCAACTTTTTCAAATCAAATTGGAATGAAGAGAGGTATGCATCTTAAAAAGTCTTTTTTTCCTTACTTGATAAACAAAACAAAGACAGTGTTAAACATTGTCAAAATCGTGTCAATTAGTGTCATTTCCTTAATATGTGTGCAAAAGAGTGTGGGACTCTTAAATAGGGGTTGAGAGAGTAGGCAACATTAATCATCATGTGTGCGTGTACAACCAAGAAGAAATTGTTACAGAAAATGGATCATTGACGTTGGACGAACAAAGTTGATCAAAAACTTATTCTAATATCACGATAGATCTCATGATCAGATTGAGGTCATTCAACTAAATCATGGATGACGTTTCTGATCAGTGCGGATGGACCAGATCATTTCTCTATATATAAGCCTCTAACAATTTTCATCCATATTCATTATTCACCATAGCCAGATTTGATCCCTGCTCGTTAGTAATTATACCATCACAAGTTATTGTCATTCGAAAGTGCTAAATATAAATAATAAAAAAATTGAGCTTTAAACATTAAGGTTGGAGCACTTGACTTAGTATGTAAATATGATTATAAGTATCAAATTAACATATTAATACTGAATTCAATGAGAAGTTTTAAGTTTGTTAAAAAAAATTGATTAGAATTACTAAAACGTATTTAGCAATTAAATTTTTTAACACTTCTCATTATTTTAACACTTGTCATTATTTTTTCTTTTTGGTGAATAGAGCCTTGTCAAACATAGATCTACATAAAGTAGGACTGTTCATCTTCTCCATGGAGATGATGGTGAGGGCTGGTTTCACCATCCTATGGGTGGTGTTCAAGATCAAAGTTCACTTCACAACATAATTAAAATTAGAGTCCAATATGATTGTGGGTGTTGGACCGTTGGATTTGTCCACCTATCTTCTCTTGGTGGTTAATTTTATATTCCACCAAGCATTAAGAATCAGAGACAAATTATTCTTCGTGTTCATGCGTATAGGAGGGCTACTCACCTCTTATTCATCTTCTCTGATGAATTGCAGCAACGAGTAGAATTACCAATTAGTTCATTCATTCATCTCCCATTCACAACTCTCCAGTCACCAAACATAGCAACACAGAAATTCAGTTCTCTGGTTACTACATGTTCTGTAGCGACTACATCTCTCGTCAACACCAGTCGCCGCACGTCTTCATCTACCATTTGTAGCTCTGTGGTCACCAAACGTAGCAATGTAGAGAGAGCACTTACTGAAACCAACTCTGGCCGCTCCACTTAAACGATACGTATGCTTCCACATCAGGGAAAACTTGATTACCGGCTGGCCATTGCTTAAAAAGATCATTGGGTGTTTTTAAACTACTTAATTGAGTGTTTAAAAGCACAAGGGCTTAATAGACGGATAATGGGCGTTAGCATGAGAGCGGGTTTGACAGTTTTCTCTTCCTTTTGACAGAAGTACAGAACTAGACTTGTTAATTCTCATACAGAAGCGAGTACCCTGCCCATTGACTGCCCTAGAAACAAGATTAATCAGGGAGGAATATAAATTAATCCCAGAACAAATGGCTTGTTAACATTTATATCAAATCAAATTAACAATGAATCAAATGGATTGGTTAGTCCAACCTAAAATCTGGTAAGCTCATAAATCCCTGTGTATCAAATGGCAGCCCCGAAAAATGAGAATCAACAGGCAAAGAAATGAAAAAAATAAGGTTTGGTTGCAGAATATATGGATGAGCCAGAACAAAGGAAAGCTGGACTATGCATGCTCATATACCTTGAATTAGAATTCCTTAATATACTACTCCAGAAAACTCCCAAAACATTACTTTTCTAAAATCAATCTCACATTGTTACCTATAACACGGCCAACTTGAGCGCAAGTAATTATTTTAGGAGAAAATATAGGGATCACAAATAATTTCTATACATAAATAATACGTAGTAATAATAAATGAGGTTGTCTAAAAATCAAATACTTGAGCAAGGCTTAGGAGCCTTTAATTGAAGAAGAATCAGGGCTGGTCTTATTGTTGTTGTACTCTTCCAGCTCTTCATAATATACATCCCAAACGCATCTGACGCATCCGCTGCCGCAACAATCGCCCGGAAGTGGCTTTTCCGGCGGTGCAGGAATTGATTCCTTCGAACCTTCGGGCTTCTTCTCCGGCTCCACTATCTGTTGACTCGTTGCTGAATCCGAGGGGACTCTGTTCTTCCCATCGTCCGCCATCGCGGTCTTCGGGGGTAGTAGTGGAATGATTTGGTGGCAGATGAAGTTCGGATGATGGGATCTGACCAACGTATTGATCCGTCGAAGGGTCAGATCTGGCAAAGGCATGACGAATACGATTGCACCTCGGACATGATGAGGCGGTTGACGAGAGCGAAGGGTGGTGAGTCGCGGCGGCAGCTCGCGCAGCGTTCCGTCAGGAGGATTAGGAAATTGGAGCTGCGGGTGATGCACGACCTGGTTGGTCCATATAACAAATCCGCCCATCTAAATGATTATTATTACGGAGTATGACAATTTTAAACAAGAATGTGAAAAATGGTGACATTCTATGACTATGAGCATTTAAGGATCCGATCAAAAAATCAAACATTTGCTCTTTTTAATCAAAAAAATTAAGAGTTTTGGTTCGGTTTCTTCATTGGTCGATAGTTTTGTCCGTTTTAGATGAGCGTGTTGTATGTTATTCTCTCAGCAATGTTTAGTGGTAGTGTTTTCTTCATCGTTGTTCATGTTTAGCAAAACTTTTTCAACCTTGTTGTTCTGAGAATTCAATTACTCTTCATTTACCTAACCACCGCCTCTCTCTGGGAAGAAGAAAACGCTCAATTATATCTTCTTTTCAGTGGCTGGTCAAACCGATGATTCCAAAAAATTCTGTTCGACTTAGTTTTCTTTGTTAGTTGTTGGACAAAACAATTCTATCTTTCTGATGGCTGTTGCAGCCGAGATTCTTGATTTAATTTGTATCCTTTCTAGTTTGGACAAATTATTTTCTTTCAATTGCCTTTTGAGTAGCAAGGTCAGCAGTATTGTTAAATTAGTCTACACAATTGCGGGATTAGTGAATTTGTTTGGTCCTCGGAGGCAATCCGTTTCTATGTGTCATCCCAGTGTATTTTCGAGTTGTTGTATTGTTTTTTCTTGTTACTTTTAGCATTAATAAATAAAATTTCTTTTTGTAAAAAACAATTTCAAATAACTGGAGTATTAGAGAAAATTATTTAAAAAATACTATTCCCTCAGTCCTGCTAAGATTGTTTCATCTTTCATTGTCAAACCATCTCATTAAGATGGTCTCATATTAACTTTGATAATGTTTATGTAGTTTTACACCAATTTACTTTATTTTTACTTTATCAGTTCAATATGAACCACATAACCCCACTTTTCTTAATAATTGTGTCTCCATCTCACGTCTCAATGTTAGTGGGATGGGGGTATTATTTATTTTGTATACTCACAGCATTTTATTTTTGATTGTACCATGGACTGCGACCATGGCCCAAATACGGATTATGTGCGAAGCCCACAGTACGAGATTAATAAATCAAGTCCATTCATCAGGATTAAATAATAAGAGCGACTGAGCCTAACGAGGACCGTGACTTGCGAAAGAAACTTGCAGCCATGCCGGCCTTACTAGCAGACCTCAAGCCTGGGCAAGATTCTAGCGAGGTCGGACTCCCCCTAGAGCTTATGTGACATGTTATCTATTGTGTATAGCTATCTAGCAGTGGCAGTGATTTAGCGGAAGAAACGTAGATATAAAGGAGTAATAATTGCAAAATAATGGGATATGTTAGAGAAGCCCTTTCATGATTAGACTATTAAATGTACTGGTCATATCTCTTTGTGCTACTGTAGCCCTACGTCTATAAATACTTCTTATACTTACCCTAAAAGTGATCCATCCCCTGAATAATAAAAATTGCCTTACGCTGCCTAAATATTCTATTCTCGTAGATTAGCTCTCGTAGTTGTGATTAAACTCCATCAATTTTTATTTAGAATCCTAAATTTAAAATAGATCCTAAGTTTATTAGAAAGTTACTTTTATATAATGTGATCATGTGTTATCAATGACAAGTGGTAAGTGTCAAATAGATCCACCTACTCTCTACCCAAAGTAAAATAGACTCCAATAGTTTATCTTTCATCGACTATGCCCTTAAACTGCGTAATTTTTTCATCAAATTTGATTTTTAGAAAGTAATCCGCTGGCCAGCGGGTTACTTGGTGACGCAGCACACATGTGACGACTCCATCTCCCCTTTTTCTTGTCTTTTATTTTCCTTTTTCTAATTTCTTTCTGAGTTCTGTCATTTCTTCTACACGTATTGTCGGGGCGATAGAGAGACTCCATTGGCTCCTATTAATCTTTCCTTCAGAGTGCCACCATTCTCTGCATTCAACCATCACTCTCTGCGGCCAACAACCAACGAAGAATTCATCTTGCTAATGTCTTCTCTGAAGATCAAAATTTAGGGTCTTGATTCATCGCCGATTTAGATGTAGAGGAAGAGGAGTGTGATTCTTTCACCGTCGAGGCTCGAGTCGAACTCCGGTGCTACTCTGGGTTGAATTCTGGTGATCCGTCACTGCAGTTTTCTGCTCGAATCGTTCACCATCATATGAGGTGCGCTCTCGACTCAATGGCATGGAGCTTGTCAAGGTCATGGTGATGGAAGGAGGGTTGGATCTTGAAGAAGTCGTGCTTCAATTCTTAAATGGGTGGTGACTTGCGGACGAATAAGGAACATGGAAGAACGAAAGATTTTGCACAAGGAAGAAAGGAGAACAAGGAAAGAGAAACAAAGAAATAAAGCAAAAAAAAAGTAATACAGCTACCACATGTGCAGCCTCGTCAGGCAACGTGTGCACCCCGTCAGCAGGTAACTTGCTTACCATTAATCGGAGGATTACCTGTCAAAAATTGACTTTAACATAAATTAAATAGTAGGGGGGCATAATTGTTGAAAGTTAAAATACGAGAATTTAAGTAGTTGGTCATATATAGTAGGAGGGGTGAGAGATTACAATGAGGGTAATGATATATTACATGAGTTATTAGCTTCAAGCTTGAGGACAAGCTTGATGTTCAAGAGGGGAGTAATGATATGGAAAGAATGAAGCTCATTATTACTATCATTATTCATTATTATTAGGGAAAAATAATTAAAACACCCCAAACTTTGAGGGGTGTGAGGTAAGCACCCCAAACTTGCATATGTAATTTAAATACCCCAAACTTTATATAAAAAGTTATTTTAGCACCATGATCATGCATTATTTCTTTCAAAAATGTTAATTTTTGGTGTTAATCTCATAATTTAAAATATTTTAGCATTCATTAATATATAATTAATATTGTAAACTTTTGTTGTAAACTAAAAAACACTACTCCCACTCTATATAATTGCAACATTTTTAATTTGCTATTTTAAATTATGCAATTAGCACCGTAAATTTCTATTTTTGAAAAAAAATATGACCATGGTGCTAAAATAACTTTTTGTATAAAGTTTGAGGTATTTAAATTACATATGAAAGTTTGAGATGTTTATCTCACACTTCTTCAAAGTTTGAGGTATTTTATGTATTTTTCCCTTATTATTATTAGTTTCCTAAAGTAAATTTCCTACAGTATTGGGAGTCAGTTTCCTAAGGTTATTATTAGTTTTCTAAAGTAAGTTTCCTAAAGTATTAGGTGTTAGTTTCCTAAGGTTATTATTAGTTGCAGTTTCCTATTAGTAGAATATTCTATTTTAGTTAATTTATGGATAAAAGTATTGTAATAGAATTAGGGTTACTCTGATACTAGACCACCAAGAGTCTTGGGACTAGTATAAATAAAGGTGCCATATCAATGAATAAAATCATTAATCTTCTGGAGAATAATTCATCTTGTACGCTCGGTGGAACCGACGGATACTTCCTTGCCTAGGACGGGAAGCTGGGTTGTTTTTCCAACTATCATAATTATCATTCTTCTTTTTCATCTCCCAACCACGGTAACAGTTTTCTATTATAAAAGTAATGTTTTCTATTAAAGGACAAATTATATGAGAGATTACAGATTTACCGTGAGGGGCCGAGGGGATGTATTGATGTATAAATTGTATAATTGGAGTTGTTGGTAAAACATGGATGCTCCTAGGGTTTTGAAAAATTTGTGACAGCACACTCTAGTAAGAAATCAAGTGCACAAATAGGTAAGTGTTGGGAAGTTGGACAACAAAAATACACATTACAAACTTATATTTAAAATTCGTTTAATAACATTGAAATTGATTGAGTCGACTAATTTTGTTGAAATAATGAAGTAGCAATTGAATAATTCTGCTGAATTATTAAATTATATTTAAAACATATTTAATTAATAATATAAAGAAAAAGTTATATGAAAAATAGCTAAAATGATCGTCACAATGATTTCAACCAATTCAGCTAGAAAAGTTAGTCTAACCTTACTTATCTTGATTATTATACAAATCAATGTGCAAAATCAAAATTACATATTTAGTGAAAAGGTTGATTATAAACCAAAAAACTTGATCACCAAAGAGGCTCTTAGATAGTCTCATGCTGCGTCAATGCCCAGACAAAGGGCGACTTACCCATCAAAGACTCAAAGTTGTCACTATCATTAATTAAAATAAAATAATGATATTGAAGATGCCCATGAAGGGTTGAAAAAAAAAACATTGCAAATTTGACGCAGACAACTCTGAACAATGTTAAGAAACTTCTTTTTTGTACAAAAGAAATCCTAACTCACTCTAAAGCGCGGTTAAAATGCACTCCTTAATCCTTGTATAACATATATCGGTACCATAAAAGGCCACAAAGCTATAAAAGAATTACACATTGAAGAACATGGAGGAAAGATAAATACTGGACCTAACTTGTGTTCGCACATGCAACACATTCCTCATGCAATCCATTGTAAAATGAGCTCAACTTAGTAATAGCAACTGCATTTCCAAACAGTGACGCTCTTGTGGACTTCGTTATGCGTACCTCAACATAATCCCCTATTTTCGGATTCCGCTTCCCGGTTTTCTCTACTTTATCAGGGATAGACAGATTTGTGAAGCAAACTCGGTGGCCTCTATCACTTTTCCCTATGAACTCCGTGTCAGGGGCTCTTTTATTGGGGCCTTCCACCAACACCAGTTGGACAGTGCCAACTTTAGAGTCATAGCATCCACCCGTACTCTCTCTGAAAGCTTCAATCAATTCTGTGAGCCTTCTCTGTTTAACATCATCAGCGACATCATCAACATAGTTTCTATGTGCGTGTGTTTTCTCCCTCATGCTATAGGCAAACATATATGCCATGTCGTAACCGACTGTCTTTATAAGGCTAACTGTGTCCTTGTGCTCCTCCTCTGTTTCCCCACAAAAACCTATAGGTTGGCACATACAAAATCAGAAGTGTGTTGTTGGCCATT